GACATGTCCAGACTTCCTGCATTCAAAACAAACAACATCAGAAGAACCTTTAAAATTTTTGTTATCCTTACCTTTTCTCTAATTCTGATGATGCTTGTGACTCTTCCTTAGAAAGTTTTTGAATTGCCTAGTGATGAAAGAAACTTCAACGCTTTCAGACCCGGAGGAGTCAGTGTCCGAGTTATTCGCCTTAAGTGCCACCATTTTCTTCTTCTTCCTCTCACCTGCTTCAAGATTTCTTTGGTTCACCCCTTACTCGTAAGCAATGAGTGAACCAAGTAAGTTATCGATCGAATAGGCATTTAAATCTTTAGACTCAAAAATTGCAGTGATTTTAGCATGAAAAGAGGAAGGCAAATATCTTAAAATTTTTTTCACTTTTTCATAGTTAGTAAGTTCTCTTCCTAACGCATGCAATGAAGTAACAATCTGAGTAAACCTTGTATACATTTCAAAAATCGTTTCATTAGGTTTCATACAAAAAAGTTCATAATCATGTAATAAAATATTCAAACGAGATTGATTAACTTCATTAGTGCCTTCATAGGTGATACACAATTTATCCCAAATTTCTTTACCAGTAGTGCAAGTGGAAACATGCATGTAATCTTTCGATTTTAAAGCACCAAAAAAATAGGTCAAATACTTTGCATTAAGTTGTACTAAATCTCTTTCGTCAGAAGTTCATTCAGTAAAATGTACTTCAGTTTTAATTCCATTAAGTTCACCATAAGGTGGAAAATATCCAACTTTAATAAGCATCCACATACAATAGTCAATCGATTGTAAAAAAGTAGAAATTCGAGTATTCCAAAAATCAAAAGGAAGATTATCAAACAAAGGTGGTCGTGTTATATAATATCCTTCCGTTGCATTATGATTACCGTTGTCAGCCATGGATCAAAATTCAAAAAGTTTTCAAACTTAATTTTTATGATTCCCGCTCTGATACCATTTGAAAGTTCGTTAGGATTGTTAAGCCCTTAAGAACTAGCCCGAGGCTAACGAAGAGGGGGAGTGAATTGATATTTTAAAAAAATTTCTTAAAATCAAAGCATAATCACAAACCAAAATCACCATAGAAATCAAAGTGCAGAAAAATAAATGCAGAAATCAAAATAAAGAAAGATCACACCAGAATTATAGCGGTTCGGTCAACTCGACCTATGTCCACTCCCCGGAGGCGCCCTCCGAGTATTACACTACAAAAGTGACTCTCCTTTTGCTCCCACATTAAGGCGAAGAAGCCCACAAAAAACTCCTTTCCGCCAACCCTGACGAGATAGAGAACCCAACTCCTTTTTCTTCCTCCTGAAGCAGGCAGAGGAGTCAACTCCTTTTACTTCCTCCTGAAGCAGGAAGAAAACTCAACTCCTTTTTCTTCCCCCTAAAGCAGGCAGAGAACCTAACTCCTTTTTCTTCCTCCTGAAGCAGGCAGAGAACCTCGACCAATTGCTGAAGCTTACCTCTCTTAAACCCCCAAGGACGAAGGATAAAGACTGGAGAAAACGCCTTGGAACCTAGCTTGGAGCAACCTTTTTGAATCACTCTCATAAACTCCCCCTCACAAGTTCCTCCCTCTCTCTCCCTCTCCTCTTGGCTCTCTCAGGTTAAGACAGCAGCTAAAGATCACTTTGCATGAGAAATTTTGGGTCCTTTAAATAGAATTTCAAGAATCAACATTATCGTCCAGGACGATATGAATATCATCCTGGCCGATCAGTGCAAAACAATCTCAATCAGCCGGGACTATTTGGGACGATCAGAAGAAAATTGGTTACATCATCCAGGCCGATACAATATCGTCCTGGCCGATTAGTTCCAATCCGAGTATAATCGTCCTGAACATTTCCCGGAATAGAGTCTGGTCGATGTTAATCATTCAGGACATCGTCCCAGACGATCTTGTGATCGGCCCGGCCGATGTGATCGTATCAATCAGTCTTTATTGCTTTTCATAATTACAAGATTAATTTAGGCATAATTGTGCTTCATCGTCCAGGCCAATGTTGAGATCTTCCTAGCCGATGTCCTGAAATAAAGAATACCTAAATTGATCATGGCGGCTAATTCTTTCTGATTTGAGCCTATCGTCCTAGCCGATACAACGATCGTCCAGGATGATGTGCTTAATGATGGATGCCTTAACCAGGATGCCCTAATTAATATTTCTATTTTTAGTCGGATCATCCTGGCCGATGTACTCAAAATAGAAAAATACAAAAAATCTCTCAAGTGTGTGTGCAAGGTTACTTAGCATCCGGAATCACTTTTACAATTGACTCAAGAAAAAGAAAAACATTACAGACTGACTCAACCTAAATCTACCCAATCTTGAGCTGGTTTGAGTTGTATTCGATCATGTGGACCTGAAAAGTTAGTAGGCAAGACAGTCATAGAAAAACATGAATGTTTGCTATCATCAAAAGTCTAAACCATAATCTCATATTCGCAACAAGAATGTAAAGAAATTGAATGATCGTTAATGCAACAATTATTATCAATCAAGGAACCATTAACACCAACAACACTATCTATCTTAGAACAATCAATAGGTAGAGGTGACACATCCTCCCCAACCAAAGCATTTGAATCCCGCCCTACAATAGCATCAGTATGACCCAGGAAGACCACAAAATCCTTGGCAACATGGGAATCAACAGTAACTAAAGCCAGACTATTAACTCCAATATCCAAAATAATATTACCATCAGTAGTCAAAAACGCTGGTTAAATCGAATCATTTAGGACCCCATCAGCAAATTCCCCACACCCAAGCTCAAGAACCCCAGCAGCCTCCCCCTTCGAAACATCCATAGACCCGCAAAGAGCAACCCACACTTCCGCACACCCCAGCTCAACAACCCCGGTAGCCTCCTCCTTCGAAACATCCACAGACCCAGAAGAGACCATAGCTCAATAACCCCAGCAGTCTCCCCCTTCAAAACATTAACAGATCCATAAGGACCCCAGTAACAACATTCACATCAGCAGAAACATTCAGCATATCAGAAAAATTGTTATCAGTTAACTTAATAGGAAAAGAAGGCCTAACAAGGTCATTTAACGGAACCTCAAGATTAGACCGACATTCCCCCTAAGCATGGACAATATATTTATAGCTAGCACAAAATGGAGGGAAAGATTCCATTTCAACTAATTGAATGTAACCGAGCTTTTCTGGACTAATCCAAATTGTGTTCGAGTAGTTTTAACTGATATCAAGCTCAACCAAGACTCGTGCAATAGATGGCCGAGAACCCAAGGAAGTGCATTGTCTACTTTTAACAGATGGGCAAAAATCGAACCCAACGCATGCAAGATTCTGGGTTAAAGAAATGAGGGTAAAGATTGGGGAAAGAGATCCAGATAGGAATAACATGGCATTCAACACTAGCTAATATCCAAAGAAGGAGATCATTTAGTCAATTTTATGTAGCAATTATAAACTAGGTAAGATCTATGGTTGAAAATCAGGCTGTAATCTAGGTTATTTGTAAGTTTAATCAAGATATGCGTAGAATCGAGCAAAGTAACCGAGAAATCTGCGATAAGCTTCAGGTTGAAAAAATCTACGTATGGAGTCCAACCTAGGCTGCCGGGACGGAAAAAAGCCAACGAGAGAAAATTGGAACGGAGTTGCAAGCGACCGAATTTCTCTCTCAGAGATCCACAGAGAGGGCAGACCATGAAAAGAAGAAAACTTAAGCTCCAGAAAGATACATTAGAGGGAGAACCAGATAAAGCTTCAACGAAAGAGCGCGAATAGTTGGAACCAAACAAAAAACCATGATCCAACAGGCGCTTTGGCACCATTCCAACTGCTAACGGCCAAAAAAAATAAAACAACTACCAAAAAATAGCCAAGAACGCTAAGGGAAAGGACTTTCTTGATTGTAGTTACTTTAAATAAATAACTTACATGGCTTACTTATTAAAAGGGTAATTTAAAAAATGAAAAGAGCATTCATTCGAATTAGAAATTTTTTAATGCAGTACACGGAATTTCCTCAATTTCTGCAGCAAGAAGGATTCCAATTCCAGTTGCCTTCTTGGATTGTTTTTTGCATGTAATAGAAGTATTTTTGCTTAGCTGTGCATGTCTTCATGGTGATTTGTATCATGTTGTCGTTTTGTTTTCCGTCGTTAAATTCTAGAAGGTCAAAGCTACAGTAATGAGAATTTTGAAACGTTGATGGATAGACTTCAACTTGCATGTGTGTGTGTGTGTGTGAGAGAGAGAGAGAGAGAGAGAGAGAGAGAGTTTAATTCCATTTTTAGTGATTTTAAGAAGCGCAGATGTAGAATGAGAAGAGAGAGCTATTCCAAGTTTATGTTATAATGCTTTTGAGGAGAACAGATGTTGATCAAGGACGCAAGTGGCGGTGAAAGAAAAAAAGATTAAGTAACTTGATGGAGGAGGATAAGGCTAAGTTATGTTTTGCCGGGTGGCTTTAAAAACTTTTAAAATTGGTAATATATTGATTTTTTCTTCTTCGTTTCAAATGGATAAAAGTTGATTTAAATTTTAGTCTTGGTATTCAAAATTAAGAAAAAAAATAATAATAATTGAATTGAATTTCAAATTGAACAAGGGCTTATTTATGAGCAAACTAATCTATGATTCTATCTTGCAATTAAATTTCTTTCTTTTGTTGCAAAAAATACTATATATTATGTCTGTATTACAAAAATCGTTTAAATTTTTTAAAAAATGAGGAATTTGCCATTATAATACTCTATCTTAGTATAATTTAAAGCATTTAAATTTGATTATTGAATTTTAATTTAAAAAAAAAATAAATCCTAATAGAAAAAATATAAAACACAACTTTAAACTGTGTTAATTATTAGGGAAATTTACATACATATCTCACAAAACTATCAAATCTATATAATTAATATATAAATTTTATTATCTGCATAATATAACAGATTCCAACACAATAAAAACACCCAACAAATCAGCATTTCTGGAAAAAAAAAATCATCACAAAAAATTTACTCAAAACTAAACTGCACATTTATTTAACACCATTTTGTTCCTTCCACTCCAATCATCAGTTGTAAAGACTAGACTGGAGTTCAAAAAAAAAAAAAAGGAAAAGCAAGTCACACTACAGAGGAGTTGCAAGTTTTTTACATCAGCAGAAGAGTCTTCAAGCCTATTTATCCCTACTAGCTCTAATTTTAGAGGCACAAGCCAGCTCTGCTGAAAGGATGAAGGCAGACTTGTTTGCTTCTCTAAGGTAACGTGCATCTCCATTCATGAGCTTAAGGAGCTTTCTGCAAACCAGCAGACTCATACCCTCTTCTGAGAGGTCTTCCTTCCCTCCAAACATCTGGGAAAGTAAATCTTCTGGCACTCCAAATCCTGTATGTGTTATCCTGAATAAAAAGCATATAAATGTTTGATTTCATTAGGTGATATCTGAGTCATCAATTGGGCAAACTTACAATTAATTCTTAGCATTTTAAGTTAACATTATATATCATTAGCATCTGTTTATTAAATTGCTCGAATATGGAGAATGTTATGATAGAAAACCAGCAGTAAAAAGACCTCGCATTTCAATTGACAAAATATGCCAAACAAAATCTTAGTCTTAAAAATATCACTGTATAATAAGAATTGAATAATAAAATTGAAAAATGAGGATTAACAAGCTCCAATCAAGACCTTCAGATTAATGATCAACCTTCAATTTATATGTGTTTAATCCATTTCCTTCACCATCCTTCAGCCCAAACAAGGCCTAAAAGTTCCATCCTGATCACCATGGCTCAGTTTTCTTTGCATAGTTGCAATTCAGATTGCGCTGTTCGCTGACTTTCTCCATCCATTTAGCCTTCAGAAAATCTATTTTTTAAAGAGCTAAATCAAATCAGCCAAAATTGAGTTGGTCTTCGTTATTTCTCCCGCCATCTCAACCATTTCAAGACCCAACCAATCCACCATACGCTCCATCTATCCAGATCTATGAGTCAAGACACTTTCACATCCTCCCATAACGCTACAATTAAACTACTCCATATACGGAACTAGCTTGTATGACCAAAGATCCTATTGAAGGGAGTTCTAAAAATGCTAAGGATATAGTCTATTTCAAGTCTGATAAAAAGGGTTAGATGCAAAATCAATGCAAAGCTTAAATTCTACTCATAGAAGAGATTAAGCATCTAATATATAATGTTCTTGAAGAGATTTTCAATGACACTCCACCATCTAATGAACTAGAATTGGTAGAACTCAGCTTAAGGTGATGAGATGTAATATAACAACTATGAATGAAATAGAAGAGTATAGAAGATAAAATATACTTATGTACGTTTTATGTAATGATAAAAAAGTTAAGGCTAATGAAGTAACATTAATGCCATTTCAACACACAACTTAACTAGGGCCAATCTAAAGGTTGAATCACACTATGAACCTTTTCGTATCAATTACGCGAATCATACCACCCCATCACTAGTCAATATTTAGTTCTCATCAAAATAGCAAGTTATGAAGATCGGATTTGATGTGATATCCTTTCCATGAAAATTGCTCACACATTTTAGAAAGACCATGATTATATGACATAAGTGTAATTCACTATGATCTGAAGAACATATGCTTGTGAATCTAGTAGAAAAGACAACTACATACGCGTTCCATGTCTCAAAGCAAAATCTTTACATATTACATTATCAGCAACTCTCCACAAATGTAAGAAAAATTTTATTATGATATATATTATGTAGCTTTCTAGTATAAAATAAACAAGGGGTGTGTGCATTTGCATGCATGAAATTTCTCAGCAACTTAGCAATCTCTTCGTTATGAAAACAAAGGTCTAAACAACAACTAAGGAAATATAATCCTCACAGATACAAAATGCACGTGAAGTTCTTGGATCTTCCCAGATTGAAGTTTGAATTAATATTCATCTCTCTCTCAACCTAAAATATATTCTCATCCCTTATAGTAAAAGAAATAAAAATCGTAAATATGGATATATTTGTCTTCAAGATATATTTTTGGTTACGATTTAAGTTATTTGGATAGCAATGTTTCAGATAGCAATGTTACATATATAATAAAGGTAGAATAACGGCAGGTTCTCAACCAAATAATTGACATGGCTTATAATAGCAATTTGACCTACAACAAAGTCCAACTTAAACTATATCATCTTACATCTATGTTTCAGACCAGCTCAAAGCTTATGGATTAATCTTTATTATTCTATAACATTAAAGTAAATAAATCATCTCGACGTTCAGAAAATATAATAATGATTATTAGACCACAAATGTCAATATCAACTACATAAATATATACTGTTTAATTTGATTCTTTTCCAAGATGTAGATATTCAACTCAAATGTCTCCCAAGAGGCCTATATCTTATGTAATTACATTACGGTAAAATAGTTATCCTTAATATCGCTTTCACATTCCTATTATGCTTCTTCAATTTATTTCCTTCTTTGAGAACTTCTGGAAAAGTCGTCTTCTCTAACACTTTTTCTAATTAGTATAGGGAACCACGTTTTGCTGCACAACTAGATTAAAGAAATTTTCTCTCTTTCGAACAGTTGGATGAACAAGATTATGTCCAAAACTTCTGCAATAATTCCTTAAAGGATGAATGGATGCTATGGTAAAAAAATAATAAAGACAACTTTTACATAACAAGACATTCGAATGACATGACTCATGAGCTACTTTAATATTTAATATTGGTGATTTTAAAAGAACAATTCGGGATAAAGACTTTGTCAAGTAAAAGCTTTTGAAGGATAGGAGGGTGTTGCAAAGTAAACAGTATTTAAGGATCAAGTCTTAACAACCTAACAAGGCAAAGATTATGGTGAAGGCTAATAAATTCACAACAAATGAATTGAAACATGCAAAGCCTCTATAAATCTCCAAAGTTGATCGTATAGAGACGTCATATAAAGAGATGTTCGGCCAACACTGCTAAGCTGGTACATCAAAATTTCTATCTCCAAGAGCACCCCTCACAAAAAGCACCTTTCAACAAACGGAAGAAAGGGAGAAATTTGTTAAATAAAAAGTTGAAAGATATAAAAAGGGAGTGAGAAATTAAATTGCTCAAACTTTTCAACATTATCAAGTTCAAAGAGGTTTTCATAGAAAGGGAGAAATTTGTTAAATGAAAATTGAAAGATATAAGGGAGAGAGTTACTAAATTGCTCCTATTTCAACATTATCAAGTTCAAAGAGATTTTTTCATCAACATCACCATGGAGGCCATCATTCAATTCCCCCCTAGCTTGCTTGATCCACCTTGACTAAAGCAAGTTTTTATTGTCCTACCAAATCAAAGCTGTAATTTGACTTATCACCTATTTTATAAGAAAAATATCTTCATGCACTTTTCTTAAATTTTAGTGAAACTTGCCGCAAGACATAATCTCACTAAAACACGCAAATGTATGCTTGTGGCTATGTATTACGAAGATTTTTTTCTTAATATACATGTTATTGCTCGTTAATATTATTTATCAAAAAACAAGTATAATAGCTTTGATTGAGAAAGCTTTTAGATTCAAACATAAAGGATGGAAAGATCAAAATCAACAAGTTCGATTGCTGAAATTTCAAGATCTGGGAGATGCAAATAGAAGACTTGCTACGAGGTAAAGCTCCATCAATTACTAAAAGAAATAAGCAACAATCTTTCATCAAGTGTGGGAGCTGATAGACAGAAAAGCAATTGGAGCTATCTATATCCTTCAACATCTTCAATGAAACAACCATAAGAAACATTATGGAGACGCTCTTCGACTTTTCAATTCACTCTACTCTATATGCAAAGTTTTTAACTAACTAGTTTTAAGTAGATTAAAAGGAGGATCATTTTTCTGATAGCAAATTCTTGATCATGAGGAAATTAGTTGTGTAGAAGAAAATCAGTTTGTGTTCAATTCATTAGAAGCTAATTATGATATATATTATTCATTATTAGATATGTAAATAAATTTTGTTGAAAATAAAACAAAATTTAAACAATGTTTAGTAGTTGTATAAGTTAAGTATTGCTCTTATAATGTTAAGTCATGAGTTTGATTGTTTCTTTTTTATTTAATAATAAAAAATCACTCTTTTTCTTGATATGTTTGTTTGCGTTCATATAAGTTTAAAAACAAGTCGAACAATAACAAATATAACACAGATAAAAGAACATCAAACATTAACAAACAATAAGAGAAAAAAATTAATGAAGGCAACTCCAACAGAGATTTGGTTGTTTATTTGTGACTCATTCTATATCTTCAAATAGGAGAATGTAAATTTGTGGAGATAAACCCCCTGCCTAACATAGAGTTCCAATATTACATGTCCTCATATCTCACCCGTTGAAGAGTTTCCATATTTACATATTATCTTTATATAAATACCACCCCAGGTGATCTCCCACGAGCATCCCAAACAAAAGGCCTTACAGCAAAAGTAAGCGGGAGGAATCAATTTAAAAAATCACGACAGAGGAAGAAAGGGGAAACAAGCTGCCCTTATTATAGCATTATAGAGGAGTTCAGAAAAGTTTTAACATTATTACCAAAGAGGTGCTTCACTTAATTCTTGTAGCAAGGGACTGCAATTTTTTTCTCCTCCCCAGTTTGCTTGGTCTCATCTTGACTACAGCATATATTTGTTGGCCTTCCTTATCAAAGTAATAGTTTTGATTCATCTCCTATCTTATAAGAAGAATATATTCATGTATCTCTTTTAAAACATAGTGAAATTTTAGATTTCTCTAAAGGAAAAGATTTAAGTGAATCTCACCAAACCATGCGATATAGCATATGGATGTGATTGTGATTTGTTATGATAGTTTTACGTGTATTAGTGTTGTTACTCCATGTTACTATTTATCCTGGCAACTGGTATTAAAGCTTAAGTTGAGAGAGCTTTTGAATCCAAGCATGGAAGTCATAAGCCAATTAATAAGTTTGAAGATCAGTATTTCAAGTCCTAAAACATGTACATATAAGACTATCAGTGACTTTGAAAGCCCCATCAACCATTGAAAGGAATAGCCAAAATTCTGGATCACGAGAGGGAGTTGATAGAAAGAAAAGTATTGGGGGTTTTATTATTTATCCCTCAACATGTACCTTCAACATCCTCAATGAAGCAACCACATCAAGCATCACGAAGTTTGCTCACCAACATGTATGAAAAGCCCTTAGTCATCAAAAAGGTTTACGTTGTGTGAATTTTTTCAATCTTAAGATGTTCGAAAGAGTTTTAATCACCAAGAACATCAATGAGTTCAACTCAATCATAAGACAGCAGAACTTTATGAACCTTGGACTTTATCGGAGTTAGTGATATGTAAGTAAAGATGACAAGCAAAACTAGATGGAAG